ATATGATGCCAGAATTTTTGTTGTTCTAAATATCATCGACAAAAATCTTAATATGAACATTTATGATATCCGAAGTGATCTTTGTCAGAGTGTTCGTTTATCATCCATCTATCTCTTAGTCGGTACCATTTGGGTACCACACGACTTAATCAATTTTAATTATACCATTTTGATATGTCAATATAAAATCTAATCATATTCAGTTAAATTATGCATATCACCCTTCGATTACGGGGAAACCATAGAAGAATGTAATTAATATATATTTAGACTAAAATATGAGATTAAACATCTTATCTTTCCTATATACCACCTTATGCTGGGCTGCTGCCGTCTCTCTGTGACTCTACCGAGAACTAAAACCATGGATCACAGTAGCACTGCTCTATGCACGTTCTCTTCTCCTCTTTCTTTGTCGCGACTATCTGCTCTTCTCATCCGTGCCACCCTCACCTGCGTCTTCGCCACAGGTTTATGCTTGTTCCTTGATCGGCACTGTGCATTTCCTTCGTCCGACTTCTGCTACCGTCTCAAGTGTTTCTTTCCATGGTTTCAAGCGTGCCTGTCACGAGAACAAGTTTGTGTCCAATTTGTTTCTTTTGGCGTCGCTCAGCACCGTCTTCTCTCTTCCTGTTGTGTGTCAGTGGGAGTGCTCTTGGGAGCCCTGGCCGGCGCCTTGATCGGCGTAGCGACCGCGAGCGGCGTGGTACGTGGAAGCATCAGTGGAGCCATCTCCGGAGCGCTTTCGTCGGTGGAGGTCGTGGAAGACTCTCTTGCTATATGGCGAAACAACGGGTCCGGACAATGGAGCATCTTGTACTTGGTGAGTGACATGATTCAGTCATCCATCTCGAAGCATAGTTTTGATCGTTGTTTTGGATTCTTTGAGACTGAGATACTGTATAGCCTTATGAGTGGAAGACTGGTTAATGAGAAGGTGGATACTCCGAGTAGATTTTGCAAAGCTGATCTGTTCAGCTTATGCCTGCTTCTTGCTAAAGGGTTTGACCATGGTGAGCAGCTGTGTGCTCTGAGCGCGCCCTTCTTGGAGGTTCTTGACGACATCTTCGAGGCTGGCGGCGGTGGCACGAAAGGCATGCCCAAGGCTTCCGTCGACAAGCTCCCCAAGATCAACATCCATGTGGAGGACTGTGTGGATGCAAGGAGCGAAAGCATCAGCTGTGCAGTCTGTCTTCAGGTGCGTCTTGTGCTTCCTGGACTCTCTCACATATGATGCGGATGTGGTGTTTGATGAATTAACGACTGTTTGATTTTTCTCCCTCTTCAGGAGTTTCAAGCAGGTGAGGCAGCCAGGACTTTGCCTCAGTGTCAGCACATATTCCACTTGCCTTGCATTGATAGCTGGCTCATAAGGCATGGTTCCTGTCCATTATGCAGGCATAATTTCTCAGAAGCATACTTGGTACAGTAGGCAATGTCTCTATGTATAAAATCTTGAATACAAGGTTGTTCTCCACATTGGCTTTCTTCAAGCCATGCTCATGTTGCAGTGTTTCAGCAATAGAACATGTATGTATGATCCGTACAAAACTGACCTTCTGCTGTGCTGCAGAAAGTGAAGCATTCAAGAGGCAGAGAAACAGTTGTCTCATTTCATGCCTCAAAAGAGTCTGAGTCTGCTATGCTATGGTTTTGCTCCTGGCCTCAGTTTGACTTGTAATATCACCATCTCTCTAACAACAAGCTAGTGCCTTAACCACTGTTCAAAGACGTGTTAGTCCGGGCTTCTGAAAATTGTAGATCCAAAGACTGGGAACTGCGTAGAGCTGCAGTTGCAGAAACACTAGTCGTGACAACTTCATATTCTACCCTTTCTTGCCTCTGACCTGCAGAAATAACAGTTAATGATTGAGAGAACTGCATAGAGCTGATTTTGCACTAGTTAAATGATATCGGAAATCTTGTACCAAAGAATGGGCAGCTGCAACACTTGAAATGGGTGCAGAGAAAACAGCCCTTCAATGCATATGTTGCAGAATCCATGGAACCTGAGATACATCACTGTCAACTTCTATGGAGAAACTTCTGGTGCATGAAGAATGGGTGATTGTAGCATGACTTATTGAGATTTTTCCAGTGACCTATGGGAATATTTGTCATGGCTTTACTTTGTTAGGAATGATTTTAGTTCATAGTTTTGAGCATTTCCATTTAACACAAATCCTGCTATTCATTGCCCTCTATATGCTAAAATTATGATGATAGGAATTGAAAATGACAAGAAGAAAAACACGAGAGACGGATGGGCAATCAATGTCAGCACAAGCTGTCTCTTCGAGGCAATAATATCCCCACCATGGACGGTTGGATCTTGTAATTTGCTTCTCCATGGTACACAGTTCTGCACTTTGGTTACTCTGATGGCTGCATGAATTTATGATGCTGGGAACCAAAACACTTGATCCAAAAATTAAACAAAAAAGTTGTTATATATATAAAAAGAAAATCTTTGAAGTAAGGAAGAGAGAGAGAGAGAGGAGAACAAATTTTGTTCTTTCATTCATTATAGTGTACTCTAATGTGTGTATATGTATTTATATAACTGTAATTTCTTGAACAATTGTGTTTTTGTTCAAGAAATTACAGTTTAGTTTATATGTTCTGAGGCCTCATATAGTTGAACTGTTTGTTAATGGCAATCACTTTTGATGGGTACTTCCAACTTCTAGCCTTCAAGAGGATGGTTTCTAATAATTCCTTTCTAAACACCGGAGTCGATTGTTATGATTCTATCTGAAGTTTGATTTAGAAGATCACAAATCATCCCTACCTTTTGACTGTTATGATTCTAAACACCGGTGTTGATATTATGATTTACAATAAGAATTTTTTATGTGAATATTGCATTTCTGAGTGTAGGAAGATTATTATCAGCAAGAATGATAATTTTATCATATATATATATATATATATATATATATATATATATATATATATATATATATATATATATATATATATATATATATA